GGTCAGATGATGTTAGGACTGAAGCGTTTTGATCCGGAACATTGCTGATGATGTGATCGATGAGTGAAGTAGAGGGTTCTAGATGTGTTGGCTCGGTGACTAGTTGAGTTAGACCCAGTTCGTTCAAGGCGGCTTTGTACTGACGTACTCCAGGAGCGTCATGTTGCAATAAATTTATATTTGTGTCGCCCAAGCAAAAAACTGGCTTTCCGTAGCCGAGCGCGTGTTTTAGCTGATCTTGGAGGTCGTCGACAGCGCTGGCCACCGATGTGGATGGTGCTCGGTACACCACGCCGACTGTGACCGAGCGAAGACCCCTGCCGCTGATGCTGAGCCAGAGAGTCTCGCAAGGCCCGGCTGCAGGGATTGGCAGAACACTAGTAGTCAGCTCCTCACGGTGTATGATAGCCACACCACCTCCACGAGCAGTACCTCTCTGCCCCGTTTCGGGTTGGGATAGCCGATCTCTTCTTATGATCTGATATCCGGGGAAAGCTAAGATTCTGCTCTGAACGGGTTTTGAGAGCCATGTTTCCGTCACGCATAAAACGTCCAAATCTTGTTGCGTTAACAGTTGATTGATTTCATTAAGCTTCGGTACGATAGAGCGAACGTTTGAATGACCGATATTCAGAGTGTGCCGGGGTAGACGTCGTTTGGTTTCTCCCAGTGAAGGGTGGCGCTCTACACGGCGGGCCCCACTGGCCCCAACGCCTTCCTGCCGGCTGCTGTCCGCTGGCAGGCCCGGCCCAGCCCGGGGTTCAGCCGTCCGGTCTCGTCCTGCATGGACGAGTCCGGGGCTGCCTGTTAGGGGGATCAGGACACGGCCGCGGCTCGGGCGCCGCTCGTGCTCTATGGCACGTCTGCGGCGCGCCTGGACGTGGCGGCCGGCCCGTCTCCCCCTGCAGTGCCTCCTTACTCCGCCGCTGGGTGAGAGATTAACCCGCGCCCTGGTGGGGTCTGTTTATAACGCGACCTGGTGGGGGGGGGGGGCTATTTTTTGCCCCCCCTCGTATCTCCGAAACTACTGGACGGATCCGCAAAATTCAAACGGCATTCGAAAGGCCTGTCAAATTTGTCGAAGGAAACCAAATTTCATTGACCTCGGGGTCACCGATGACGTCACAGGTCAGGTCAAAGATGAAATGTTTCACCGTTCACGGGTCTTCTAGGGAATGCGCTATAACACCGAGGAAAACGCATTTTGTCGAGAATCAGCGATAGGGCGTCAGTTGCCTAGTAGATATGTTGCTATTAGAGGTCACTGACAATACCAGGTCACGTCACAGGTCAGGTCACCAAGGGTCACAGGTCAGGTCACATGAGCCCAACTTTACTAAGGTTGTGTGATGCATGTTTTATGGCAAATTTTTCATTTCCAACTCAATGGTGTTGGTTATAAGACTATCAGGTACGGCTAAGGTCACTTTCTGGTGAAGTTCAGGTCAAGGTCAGGTCAAGGTCAGGCCAAAAAAGGTCAAATTTTAAAGTTGATAGTTTTGCATAAAATGGGTATTGATTCGATGCAGCTCGTCACGGGGAGTCTAATGGTGGTCTTTGTTTTGCGCTACGGGGGTCTAGAATTGCTAAAAATTGAGTTTGAAAATTTGACGTCATCAATTTTGAACAGTTTTTTCACTATAACTTCGCCAAAAAAAGAGGTATCAATCTCAAATTTGGTATGTGGATGGAAGGCGGTAAGGACTATCACATATATTCCGGTTTTTGCGAAATTCAAAAAACTTTTTGGATTTTTCGATCATTATATCCAAAAAATTTATTTTTTGATTTTTGGGGGTCAAAATCCAAAAATTTCAAAAATCCGAGATAGCAGTTTTGTAGCCCTGTCAATTCTACAGCTTTTATGTCCTTATCATTTTTCTGTATTTGCAAAGCTATAGGCCTGACAGCTCTTCCCGCGAAACCCTTTTTTGGGTCGAAAACGGCAGAACATGACGTCACTCTGACGTCATTTCCGGCCAACCTATCATAGCCTTTGGAAAAATTTTTGGTCACCATGTGTAAAATTGATGTCCGGGAGGGTACTGAAAGTTTGGTGACGATCGGCGCAGCGGTTCTGGAGATATATCGAAAAGTCTGGAGGGGGGGCAAAAAATAGCCCCCCCCCACCAGGTCGCGGGTTAATGGGTCTGTCCATGAGGGATTCTCCCCTGGTCCGAGTGTCCGACGACCGTCGGAGTCGACGGCGGTGGAACGTGCGGCGGTAGACGACGACCGAGCCGTGTGATTGGCTGGTGGAGCTCTTCTAAAACCGGTAGAATTTTGGTCGAACGAAACGAGGGCCATGGCATAGGCTTTCGATTGTCATGAAGAGTAAAACAAAACTTGAATATTATTCGCAAGCCCACAAGATGAGGGACGAGCGAAAAATCACCACGCATTGCCGAAGCTAGCACTGTTCGACATCGCTGATACTTGAAAGCACACTGGCACTATTTCCGCGGAAAAACTGGTAAAACGACAGAGCGCACGCAGGGGCGGCTGCCAGCGAGCGGCGCTCAGCCCATCTGGACCATGTTCACCCCATATGGGACCCACATGGGATGGCCATCTCCAGCCCACATGCGTTAGGCCCACCTGGCCCATTTTTATCCCATATGGGGCCATATGGGTAGCCCATCTGTAGCCCATAACCCACGTGGGCCCATCTGGCCCATGTTCACCCCATATGGGACCCATGTGGGCATGTTTGCTGGGGCTCAGCCCATATGGGACCCAGATTTAGCCCAGATAATAGCCCACATGTAGCCCATGCCCACTTAAGCCCAGATGCCCCACTTTCAGCCCATATGGGCCCCATTTGGGAAGGCTGGCTGGGTATCTACATGCCCGCTTTCAGCGCAATCGGCTCAGTAGTTACCGAGATATTGCAATTGTTACAACACTGACACCTCTTCGTTTTGCACGTGTCACGCGCATAAGGGGTCTCCCACATGCATCGGGGATAGTCTAATACTTGGTAGAAGGAATGAAGCTACCCTAGAAAAATGACTGCTTGTAAATCGGTCCAGTGCAGTGGTTGCAGAGATATAAGTTTCGCAAAAGCGTGACCACGGCCGGCGAGCCGGGCGGTCGCTTATACTCAGAAATTTCCGTTAATCTACGAGAGACTTCGCTCGCTTCGCTCGATCCGTAATTAGTTAGAACTTAAGTGTACTATGCTATTAACCCGCGCCCGGCTGGGGGTCCTGGATTTCCACGCCCTGTTGGGGGGTGTTTGAACATCCCCCCCCCCTTCTAACTCGGCTCCTTGGCCACGTAGTGATACGCGGAAGGCGGCGTTCGAAAGAGCGCCAAAAATAATGACGAAATCATTTCGGTCACTTTTTTGGTCAGGTCAAAGGTCAGGTCACCAGAGTTCATTGAAGGCAAAATTTCGCCGATTTCCACGTCGAATGTCGACAATTTCCAGGAAGCCAACGCATAACTCGGAAACCAATAGAGCTACAGCGCTGCGGAAAAGCGCATTCGATAGCCCTATTAACACCCTTTCTGATTATTCTCTCAGATTTGACCTAACGTCAACGGTTTTGCCTGCAGGGGGCAAAAACTGCAAAAATAGCCGATTTTTTCGGAAACAGTTTTTCTGCGATAACTTTTGACCCCCAAGCCTTGTACGAGCTTACTTTTACCGGCATCGTGTTCCTCTCGTCAAGACGCATCAAATGATCTATAACTTGACCTTGAAAGGTCAACTTGAAAATTTGACCTCAGGTCAAGGCCATGACCTGACCAGAAAGGGTCATGTTGCATATCAGTCGATCCGTATTGTCGAGCTGAACACATCTAAGGCGTTTTCACCGCTCTAGCATGCCTCTATTAAAAGTTATTTGCGAAAAACTGTTAGACACCATTCGTGACCTGAGATGACCTCAGGGGCATAAACAGGGGGTCGCAAACACCATGTTCATGTTCAGTGTGTCTAACTAAACCACTTGTAATTCATTGTTTGGGAGTGTTTATAATGTCTTTCGTCCAAAAGGGGCGCATCTCAATTTTCTTCCATTGACTTATAATTTGGGGAGGTCGCAAAATTGACCTGACCTTAGGTCACCGATATCCAAATTCCGAGATAAACTTTTTATAGATGCTGTTAACCTGATCAATCTCTGAAAGTTTTAAAGCGATCGGTCACTCGGTGTAGCTATGGCAGACATTGAAACTTTTTATGAGGTGAGTCACTTCAAGTGACCTGGTGACCTGACTTTGAATGACCTTGGTCTGAAATTTTCACAACATGTCTAGAACTGATGTATAATAAGGTGTTTTTTTAGATATTCGCGAAAAACCACAGGGGGGTGTTCAAACACCCCCCCCCCCGCAGGGCGCGGGTTAAGAAACAGTACCGGCGCTGAAGGCGTCGAAAATTGATGAAGGCGAACCAGTCTGATGAAATCAGTGCTAAGCTAACACCATTCTGGATGCCGTTAGGTATCTTACTTCCTCTAGACCTTGTGTATTGTGGGTGACTCCTTATGCACGTGCCACGTGTAAAACGAAGAGGTGTCACTTTTGTAACAATGGCAATATCTCGGTAACTACTGGGCCGATTGCACTGAAAGTTAGCATGTAACTAGTTAGGCACCCACTAGGCAGTGCATTTGCATGTGCCACGGTTGGGGTGCTGCTGCATGTGCGCACGTGCAGGGGTCGATTCCAGACCTCGAGAACGGCTGGACCGATTGCGCTCAAATTTGGTACACGGTTAGGGAGCAGTTAGTAGGGTGCCGTGCACAAGTCAGTTGGGACCTATTTTGCACGTGCGCACGTACAGAGTGCCGCTTCCAGATCTTGAGAACGGCTGGGCCGATTGTGCTCAAATTTGGCACATCGCTAGAGACCATTTGTAGGGTGCCGTGCACGAGTCAGATGGAGGTACCTTCTCGAAATTTCGCACGTGCAAGGCTCGCCCTCTCGCTCGCTCTGTTAGTCGCCCCAAAAGGCGTTATACTGGTGTTTGACTCAACCACAATACCTACCGATTTCGCATTGAAATCCAATAAAGCCGGGTGGACAGACGCATTGACCCGTCGCCTCGTGGCACCGGCCTCCGTGCAAACAATGCGGGCACCGTCTGTCGCAGGCAGCTCCGAAGAAATCCTCAGGACAGGCTGTCAGCCAGCGTATGAAGAAAAAAGTGGTTCAGAATTATAGATTAGGTACCAAGTGCTGCTTACATAACATGGAACACTGAGTCCAGAAAGAGGTGCATTAGAGCGAGAGCAGAAGAGATGAGAAATGAATGGAAGAGAGAGAAAAGAAAGAACAGAAAATATATTTTTTAACACAAACTCTTCAAGGAATGATAAAAGTGGGCGAGAAAAAAAAACTTAAAGAGAGCCAAACATAATAGGTACCGTAAACGGGGGTGACTTTGCCATGTTTTCAACTTTAGACGCTTGTATTCTTTACACTTCTTAACTTGTTGGGATGACTCTATGTTCAAAACACGGATGAAGGTTGATGAAAACACGGCTCTTTTGGTTTTGCTATTATCGTGTTTATATCTTGCCTAAAAATATAAATTTTGTAAGAAAATGAGTCGTGGCAAAGTTAAACCGAAAAGGGGTGACTTTGTCACTATGTCAAAAAATGGTTTTTAACGCTTGCAAATAATTTTTAAGCATTTTTGTTCCATTGTATGGGGGAGGGCAACCATCTTTAATTGTTTATTAGGAAACAAATGCAGCAATTCAAAGTTTTTTGCTCTTAAATGATGTACAAAAAAGGAGAGATACATTACTTTTATAATACATTATATTTGTTGAAAATTATTGACATTGATAGTAAATAGAAACTGAAAAATGGTTCAGAATAGATAAATAAGCAAAATTATGATTGTATCAGTACTCTAGGACCGTGCCACATGCCTCCAGCGGCATCGAGAGGAACAGAAAGAAGACGTTCTTGCGGCAACTTACCGGCACCCTTATATTATCAGCGTTTTGATCTATAAAATGATACCGATTTCGTCAGCTAGTCTTACTGGCAAACTCAGGAGTTGTAGATGATCATGACTGTGCTGAAAAGTTGGGCCCAGCTTCATCCATTTTTTTTGAGTTTGGTAATTTTTGCCTTTCTATACTCCCACTGTGCATTCCGGTGTTAATTTTAAACGTATAAACTCTCACTTTTTTAAAAACCAGCCTGGAGGTCAAAATGATGCTACATTAAAAATTATTTTGAATTGCATCGGAAAGTATTCAACTTTTGCATAAATAACATGGTGGCAAAGTCACCCCATGTGGCCTGCTATTCACTTGGAAAAATCGCCACCAAAAATTTAAGCTAAATGAAGTGACAAATGTCAGTTTTGTTGTATATGCTAAGTTAACAGCCTTGTCATGATCAACCATACCAAGCTTCAGCATCGCAGGTGGTCTAAGACATGGTTAGATAATAAAAAGTTTGGAACTCTTAAAATTTGACCATTTTAATGACTCCATAAAATGGAGCCCAGTTAGGTATTTAGTGGTAACTTACCTATCAGTGCTAGTTATATTGGGAGGCCCATCAATTACCTTTCATTTGTGCATAAAACATTACTACATTCCTCGTAAAATATCATGGGAGATCTCCCTAAAACATTTTTCGAGAAGCATGGCAAAGTCACCCGGCGAGGCAAAGTCACCCCCGTTTACGGTACCTACATGCATATCATGCAGCGTCCACCAACATCAATCTCGTGGTACAAATTGCCATGTTTTTAGGTGCTGTTGACTATCTGCATTACGTTTCTCAGACTTTTAAAATGATACGCATAGTATGATTTACCTCTCACTATGAGTCTCGTGGCTGAAGAGTGTGGGTGATATTCCTGGCTGTATGCCATCAAATAGACGCCGCTCTGCTCTAGCCTGACGTTTCTGAAGATCAGCTCACGAGCTAGCAGGCCAGTTCCCTGGCGCGTGATGCCTCTGAACCTGAAAAAGAACATTTTCCATGCCATGGATGATTTTTATCGCTTCTTTTAGGGCCTTGTTTATCACTATATATGTGTTTAGCGCTATAAGCGTGTTTATCACTACCCATTAAAGAAATGACAAAAATCATTTTATATGCACTATTTCTTATTTTTGTGCTAATCCATGTCACACGCAATGTGTGGAATCAGGCATTCTATAAAATGCCTGAACCTGGCATTCTATAAAATGCCTGAACCTGGCATTCTATAAAATGCCTTATTTTCAAACATTCTATAGAATGCCTAGTAAATGTGACACGCAGCTTTCCAACAAATGAGTGCATGTTGTATAAGATTATGAGAAGGTACAGACTAGTGATGTCAATTACGGAAAATCTTGATACCGATACCAAACCAAATACAAACAATAACCATGGAATGGAAGAATACCGAAACCGAGCCAACTTGGTAAACTCAGGAAAATACCAGCTCTTTACCAAATTCACAGCCTCTTTTACGTTAGGGACGATTCACAGTGCCAATGTTAGAGTGAGCTTGTGAAATCTGTGGATCCGCGGATTTCCTAGGGAATCCGCGAAGTGGATGAACATCAAGTCTAGTATATTCGCAGATAAACGGGCGGGGATCCGCGGATGAACAAGACTGTTCCGGATAACGGCGAACTCCCTGAAGAGTGGACGAGATCCGCGTACCACCCGGGGAATCCGCGGAGTAACGATTCATTCTAGTGAGTTTGCGAAGCTCCTATGCGTTTCATGCAGCTATCTTATGACAAGAATGCATGGCATATTGGGTAGATCATCTGCGACTTAACCCGCGCCCCGTAAGGGGGGGGGGCCGAAACGGCCCCCCTGTCTTTTTCCGTCGATATCTCCTAAACGGCTGGTGATATCGCAACCAAACTTTCAGGACCCTTCCGGGCATCAATTTTACACATTGTGACTAAAAATGTTTCCAGAGGCTATGATAGGTTGGCCACAAATAACGTCAGAATGGCGTCATGTTTTGCCATTTTCGACCGAAAAAAGACCTTCGCGAGAGAGAAGAGCTGTCAGGCCTACAGCTTTGAAGATACAGAAAAATGATTAATACATGAAAGGTGTAGAATTGAAATGAATACAAAACTGCAATCTCGGATTTTAATTTTTTTTTAGTTTTGACCCCCAAAAATTAAAAAGCGTTTTTTTTATATATTAACAAAAAATCCAAAAAGTTTTTTTGAGTTTCGAAAAAAACAATATATGCGATAGTACCTACTGTCTTCTATCTACGTAACAAATGTCAGATCGATATCTCGTTTTTTGGCCAAGTTATAGCGAAAAAAACTGTTCAAAAATGATGTCAAATTTTCAAACTCAATTTTTGGCAATTCTAGACCACGTAGGGCAAAACAAAGACCACCATTAGACTCCCCGTGAGAGCTGCATCGAATCGATACCCATTTTATGCAAAAATATCAACTTTGAAATTTGACCTAATTTGACCTGACCTGACCTTGACCTGACCTTCACCAAAACGTGACCTAAGCTAAGCCCAAAGGCTATCTGACCCACATAATCGCATTTGTCATGTAAAATGGACCATAAAACATGTATCACACGACACTTTCAAATTGTGACCCCCATGTGATCTGACCTCTGTGACCTGACCTGGTATCAGTGACTTCAGATAGCAAAGTATGTGTTTGAAGAAAAATGTACCATCGATGGTTTTCAATAACTTACCAATTTACTCGATTTCACAACACATTTCTTGAAATGCCTGTGAACGGTGAAAACCCGACCTTTGACCTGACCTGTGACGTCATCGGTTTGACCTAGGTCAATGAAATTTGGTCACAAGGTAGTTCCCCGGTGGGGCTATCGACCGTCGTTTGAATTTTGAAAATCAGCCGGTAAATTTCCGAGATCTTAGGGGGGGGGGCTGAAACGGCCCCCACCCCCACCCCCCACCCCCCACCCCCCTACGGGTGGTAGGGTCCACCGATAGCCCTAAGGGGCGCGGGCTAACCCTCGCCCGTATTTTTGTTTTCTCAGATGCTACCGTATGCGGGGAGGGATCAGCGGGGGGAGGGGTCCGTTGGAACCCTTGCCGTGCGGTCCCTGATAGAGCTAGAGCTTTTGCGGAAAAATAGCTTGCTTTCCGTGATTAGAAGAAGCCAATGATACCCAAACCATACGGTCCCAGGCAATTGGTTGACATTCCAGGTCGATTCCAATTTCCAAATAGCATTGGGGACATCCTGTCTTTTTAATCGCCTTTGATACGCAACAACCTCAATTAATACCAATGTGTGATTAAGCTTTCATTACGGAGCGAGCGAAGCGAGCGTAGTCTTTCCTTAGATTAACGGAAATTTCTGAGTATGAGCGGCCGGCCGGCCGGCCGGCCGGCCGGCCGGCCGTGGTCACGCTTTTGCGAGGCTTATATCTCAGCAACCACTTGACCGATTTACACGCGGTAATTTTTGTAGGGTAGCTTCATTCCTTCTACCAAGTATTGGACTATTCCCGAAGCATGTGGGTGACCCCTTATGCACGTGCCACGTGCAAAACGAAGAGGTGTCACTTTTGTAATTGTTGCAATATCTCGGTAACTACTTGGCCGATTGCGCTGAAAGTTGGCATGTAGGTAGGCACCCACTAGGCACTGCATATACATGTGCCAGAGTTGGGGTGCTGCTGCACGTGCGCACGTGCAGGGGTCGTTTCCAGATCTCGAGAACGGCTGGACCGATTGCGCTCAAATTTGGTACACGGTTAGGGACCGGTTAGTAGGGTGCCGTGCACAAGTCAGTTGGGACCCATTTTGCACGTGCGCACGTGCAGGGTGCCGCTTCCAGATCTCGAGAACGGCTGGGCCGATTGTGCCCAAATTTGGCACATCGCTAGAGACCAGTTAGTAGGGTGCCGTGCACAAGTCAGTTGGAGGTACCCCCTCGCAATTTCGCACGTGCAAGGCCCACCCTATCGCTCGCTCCGTTAGTCGCCCCAAAAGGCGTTATACTGGTTTGTTTATATGCGAGTACACAAGGGCTTTGGCTTATTACCATCAGCTTGGGTCAAATAACTAAATTCAAACGCGGGTTGATATAGGTACGTGTTGGGTTCTCGTATCGGAGTTCAGCATTGCCCCTCCGGCCTCCAGTCCAAATGTTTCCCAGAATAGATACTGTGACGCCGGGCTGGAGCGGCTGTAGGCGCGGTGCTGACCGGTCCGGTCAGGTCGGCTGTGGCAAAGGGGCAAGTTGGGAGGGGGGGCCAACTGCCCCACCAACTGTACACGAAGCTCCGCCCCTGGGGAAGGGTGAGCATTACTGATATTCATACATACTTGCAAACATTCACCTGATCGCTCAGATGCACCGCGTCCTTACCGTCCTTACCAGCTTACCGTCCATTTTTTAATTGCATATCAATATTTGCGAGCGACATCTAAGCGAGACGAAAGAATAATTCGTGAACCCACTAGAACGAATCGGTACCTATTCCGCGAATTCCAACAGCGTCTGGGAAAACACCAATAGGTACGGGCGAGGGTTAACCTTCCAGGTGGTGGGGGGGGGGCGCATTTCCCCCCCCCCCTAGTTTTTTCGATATATCTTCAGAACCGCTGCGCCGATTGTCACTAAACTTTCAGTACCCTCCCGTGAATAGCTTTTACACATTGCGACCAAAATAAATCCAAAGGCTATGATAGGTTGGCCGCTAATGACGTCAGAGTGACGTCATTTCTGCCTTTTTCGACCCAAAAAAGTTTCGCGGTAAGAGCTGTTAGGCCTACAGCTTTAGAGATACATAAAAAACTGACATAAAAGATGTACAATTAAGCGGGCTACAAAACGGCTATTTCGAATGTTCGAATTTTTTGGATTTTGACCCCCAAATCATCAAAAAATATTTTTTTAAGTATAATTGCCGAAAAATCCTAAAAGTTTGTTTTTTTTTAATTTCGAAGAAACGGAATATATATGATAGTCCCTACCGCCTTCAATCCACATACCAAATTTTAGATCGATACCTCTTTTTTGGGCCAAGCTATGTATAGCGGAAAAACTGTTCAAAATTGATGACGTCAAATTTTCAAACTAAATTTATAGCAATTTTAGACCATGTAGCGCAAAACAAAGACCACCAGTAGACTCCCCGTGACGAGCTGCATCGAATCAATACCCATTTTATGCAAAACTATTAACTTTGAAATATGACCTTTTCTGACCTGACCTTAACCCGCGCCCCACTGGGGGGGGCTATTTATAGCCCCCCTCCCGTTTTTCTGCAATAACTTCCAAACCGCTTATTGTATCGACGCCAAACTTTCGGTACCTTCGGCTGCATCAATTTGACACCTTGTGTCAAAATTTGAACTTCGTACCTACCATAGGTCGGCCGGAAATGACGTCAGAGTGACGTCATGTTCGGCCGATTTCGACGCAAAACATTGAGCCACGGCAATCGCTCCTAAAGAGCTTAGTTTTTAAGCTAGATCCAATTTCTTTGCATGAGAGGACTCAAAATAGACTGCGCTATCAAACTGCTATCTCGGATTTTCGAATTTTTGAAAATTTCGAAAATTTTATATAATAAAATTCAAAATTTATATTTTTACATTTTTTTCATTTTTTTGACTTTTCGAAAAAACCGGAATGTATGTGATAGAACGCATTATTATGACTAGCTCTAGCAAGTTTTAGCTAAGTATCTTCAAAAATGGCCAAGTTATACGCATTATTGCAAAAAATTAACAATTATTAATTTTTCAAATCAATTTTTCAGCACAAATTTGACATCGTACGCCAAAATAAATAGCACCATCGTGTTCCTGAGCTCAAACTGCATCCAATAGACACCTTTTTTGTTGAAAAATTTGAACTTCGAAATTTGACCTTTTTTGACCTGAAAGTGACCTGACCTAAGCTAAATTTGACTAAAAATGACCTCGAATGACACAGACGACATCAAATTCGAAATGTTTGGCCTAAATGGACCATAAAACATG